TGGGGAATTCTGGGAGTTGAAGTCCACTCAAAGTGGCCAAGTTTGGACAACACTGCCATAGGATATGTCCTTGAGACCCTGTACCATCATGGTGCCGTCCCTTGAACCTGTTCGAAGCTTCAAGATCTTCCAGAAACGTGGTACCCAAAATTGTGTCCCATATCATATATCCTCTGAGATCACCTGTGCACTTGTAATTCTCTGTTTGCTGGGAAGCTGATGTCTACTAATCATCAAGCCTTTACACAAACTAATGATAGAAAAACTTTTGAGGTATTACGCAGAGTCCTGCTCTTTCTTCAAAAATGGTTATTGCACAGTTGGGAAAAAATTGTAGGAAAGGTCAGCCACAATGACCAGTGATTTCCTGTACGAGAAGTAGCTGGATTTGCACGTTGCACTAAGCTTGACACACGACAGTAGGGTGTAAGCCATTTTTACAAACTGTGATCATTGGTTTGTAGCAAACCACCCCCATTATGGCTTAGCATGTAACTTCTCGGCATTTAAAAACAGCGGTCTCTAACTTCTTATTCTCTGTTCTTTATTTGCAGAATTTATTTAAACAAGCAGACAGAATAAAACAGAAGAGAGAGGTCTTTTAAGAGCCACTTCCCTGACGGACTTGAGCCACTGAAAACTGGTTTGATTCGACTGCTCTCCTTTGGATTTTATTTGGATTATGTTTGAAAGGGCAAGACGAAAGAACTTTTCCTTTGGGATTTTTTTTGGAAGTGCTCTTGGGAAAGAATGCCAGATCGGGGCCAGGTTGATTAGGGGAGCTTGATAGTCTAGCTCCTTCAGGCAAAGATTGTAGTTGGCTGCGTTCACTCTGAATTGTGGAATGGATTTCCTACATAGTTGGTAAATTCCTGAGGACAGTAGTTTTAAAATAGATTTTTAAAAAGGGAGGCTTTTCACAGTGCTATTAGTTGCTTTGCCATTAACCTTCAATGTATTTAAATGGACATATTATTTAAATTTATATTAGCCTGTTCTTCCTATTGAAATATAACTTAACCAACTGCTGCCTCTTACAGTTAAACGCCCGTTCCTCCTCGAATAGTGTTTCTCATTCTGCGTTATCAAATCCTACCCAGAACCAAAGTCCCTTCAAAAATACAAACGAGTGTTTTCAATCCACAAGTTCCTAAGGTTGGGGCTCAAATACTGTATTTTATTTCAGTTAGATCAGTTTCTGGAGGTTCAGGCTCAGTGTTTTTCAAACTTGGCAATTTTATGATGTGTGGACTTCAACCTCCAGAATTCTGGGAATTGAAGTCCACACATCTTTTTTATTTTTATTTATTTTTTTATTGCTTTTAAAATAATGACAAAAAGAAAAGAAAAGAAACAGAACAAAACACAAAAATAGTTATAATAGAAATACATACCTTGTCAAGGAAAAGAAAAAAAACCACATAGAAAGTGCTTTTTTAAAAAAAAGTGAAAAAATGCAATGAAGGAAAAAAGAAAGATATGATAATATTTTAACAGTAAATATTTACAATTCTATATATACTTATCTAATACAAATATTCAAATATTGTGGAGTCCTTGGGGTTCCCGGAGCTTGGTTGTTTTCTTGCAAACGTTTCGTCACCTGGCTAGGTAACTGCTTCAGTGCTAGAAGGGAGTGGAGTTTGCTCTCTGTTTATATACAGTAGCGTGCCCTGTCAGTGTTGGTGGGGGTGTTGTTTTCTTCTTGATAGTTCCTTGATTAGGGTATTGTTTACTGCATGATTGTCTGTAAATCAAGTTACTGTATATAAACAGAGAGCAAACCCCACTCCCTTCTAGCACTGAAGATGTTACCTAGCCGGGTAACAAAATGTCTACAAGAAAACAACCAAGCTCAGAGAACCCCAAGGACTCCACAGTTCAACCTTGAGCCACGTATATTCTCTTCTATTGGTATTATTCAAATATGTATATATTTCTAATAATATAACTATCATGTTTTCCTAACCTTCTGTATTTTGTATACAGGTAGTCCTTGCTTAACAACCACAATTGGGACTGGAATCTCGATTGTTGAGTGAAGTGGTTGTTAAGTGAGATCCCCACATGACTGCTTCACTCAATGACCACAATCTGGGCACTCCCAGTTGTGGTCGTTAAGTGATTCTCAGGTCATTAAGTACATGGAGCAAAAGAGCTGCCCGCTGAAGGATTTCAGCTTGATGCAGAGCTGAAGTCCTCCCGACAGGCAGCCCTTTCGCTCTCAAACATTCCTGCATCCCACCAAAGGGTTTCCCCTCCCCTCTGTGCATGGAGGGGAAATCCTTCATGGGGCTGGAGGAAAGGAGCTCAAATCTACCCCTCCATGGATAGAGTAGATTTGAGCTCCATTCCTGCAGACTGCAGAAGGATTTCAGCTCCCCTCCGTCTCCTCTGCTTGTGACCTTCCCTGCCAGCTTCCCCATTGACTTTCTGGGGAAGCCAGCAGAGAAGATTGCAAATGGCGATCACATGATTGTGGGGTGCTTGGCAACCGGTCGTAAGTGCAAGCTGGTTGCCAAGCACCCGAAATGTGGCCACGTGACCATGGGGGTGTGTGGTGTGACGTTTTATGACGGCTGGAAGTGCTTTACAGGGCGTAAAGCACCCTTTCTGAGGCTGTTGTAACTTTGAACTGTCGTTAAACAAACAGTCGTTAAGTGAGAACTGCCTGTAAATGAGTCCCATATTTCATTGTATTTGTCCATATAGTCTACGTCTATAGGCAATCTGCTTATAAGTGGCAAGTGCAATCAGGTGAACTCGGTACATCTTAAAGTTGCCAAGTTTGAAAAACACTGCTCCAACTGTTGAAACATACTGAGATTTGCTTGTTGGAGGATTTCTTCTAGAACCAGTTCTCCACCTTTGGGCAAAGGGCGGATGAAGATCTTAGCAGCCTGTGCCAAAGCAGCATCTGGAGTTGCCTCCTGACCTTTAGAATTGCCCCCAAGGAGTCTCAAATATGTTTTGTGTGGTTTAGGCCCAAATTCTGATGAGAAGCGAAAAACGTTCAGAGAGGTTGCCTCTCTTCTTTTGAATCTTCTTCCCTTAGAGACATCTCCAAAGTTGACCTGTCTTTTGGTTCTCTCCTCCTGGTCCCTCACTTTTAATGGATGGGAAGAAGGAAAATAACGATTACCTGACCTAAGCCCCAGAAGAGACCGTGGCTCAATGGTGGAGCAGATGTTTTGTGTGTGGAAGGTCTCTGGTCCGATTCCCAGGATCTCTGAATATGACGGAAAATTCTTTTTGGAAAGCTTTTGGCAATGTTCATCTAGGTAGACCGATGCTTAGGGGTTTTTTTTAGACTTTTTTATTCTGCCTTTCTTATTTTTATATATAACTCAAGGCGGTCAACATAATACTCTTTCCTCCTCCTAATTTCCCCACAACAACAACCCTGTGAAGTGAGTTGGGCTGAGAGAGAGGGGGACTGGCCCAATGTCACCCAGCCAGCTTTCATACCTAAGGCGGGACTAGATCTCACTGTCTCCTGCTTTCTAGCCTGATGCCTTCACCACTAGACCAAACTGTTATGAATCTGTGTAAGCTAGTTTCCTATGCAATAGGATGGAATTGTAGCCTCGGTAACCAAACACATGATCAATTAATTAAAAAATATATATGCTGATTCGCAGCAGCAGCAGCAGCAGCAAATTGATCTCCCTACCTTTGGCGTTTCGATGGGAGAATCAGATTCTGCCATTGATATGACACTAAACCTTCTTTGAACAGTGGTTTACAGAGGTTGGGTTCACACACCATGCCAAGCCAAATTGACTAATGAATGGTAAGAGGCTGGTTCACACTACATGCTAAGCCATAAACCATGGTTGCACAAGGGGTGGAGTTTGCGCACTGTGCAAAGGTCAAGCCTGCCACCTTGTGGCTTAGTGCCATGTGTGAACCCCAACCCGCACAACAAGCCCTCCAAAATCTCTCTCATCACAGAGTTGCTGTGTTTATATGTGATACTTAGCCAGCATTTTGGACCATAGTTTGTCAAGCCACAATGGTCTTGATTTGTACCTAACACTAAAGCATTACAGCTGGGTATCTGCATCATACAAAACCTTCAAGAAATAAACTATGTTATGACTTGGGTGTGATGTGTGAACCAGGCCTGTTAATATGAACTTCTGAATGACGCTCCTGATGATGATACATAAATCGGCTTCAGACACCACCCTGGCTTGAATCAAAGTTGAGCTGTTGTCTGAAAAATCTCCTCTTGGCCCCCTTTCCAAACGCCTTCTGCCAACCTCTGCCTTTCCCCAAAGAACTGAACTGTATTTGGTGCTAATTCCTTGCATTCTCAAAATTGCTGGCATTCTTTGGAAAGCCATCCCTGGGGGAGTTTTAATTTTGTTGTAGTTCCCTTGCCTGGGGAAAAAATGATACTCTGAAAACAAAGTCAGTTTTCATCGAAGCTTTTGAAGCTGAGTTGTAGTGATCTGTGTGTGTGTGTGTATTTTTAAGACTCCGTGGGAGAGTCCTTAATCTTAGTTGTTGCTCTGCGTCTGTTTGAGTACAGGGAGCCCCCAGTTTAAGAACGAGTTCCGGTCCCAAGGTCTGTCCTTAAATTGAATTTGTACATAAGCCAGAACAGTATTATTGTATAATACTGTAGAAGTAGTGTTGTGTAATTAACTCAAACCGTTGTGTATTTAACTCGAATCATTGGGTACTTAACTCGAATTTTGCTACAATAGGCTCCATTCTTAACTATGGGTTATCCGTAAACCGGGTGTTCTTAACCCGGGGACTACCTTTATGGTTTTCATCATCAGTATTATGTGATGCTTTGAACATTTTTTTTTTTTGTATTAAATAGAGGAATCTTCCTGGACCTATAATAAACCTTTATATACTTTTTATTCTGTAAGCTCTTTAAGTACATCACTTGGTTGGATGATTTCTTGGGAACGGTTGCAATTCAGCAAATATTTGATTTCTCTGGTCATTAACAACTTAACTGTGTGATGTGTTTCTGGGGATGAATTGATCCTTTTTTTTTTTTAATGTTAGAGATGTATCCATGCTTATTTTTAATCCTCTCCCAAATTAAGATACTTTCTACTGATTTTTGAAGATGCACTGCGGTAAAGGACCACATTGGTGAAGGAGTTTGCTTCCTTTGAAATTAAAAAGGTGCCTTTAGTATCTGGCTGGAAGATTCATCTATTCCAATAAGCTTCTTTTAATGGTACTGTTATGCTGCTAATTCTGAGCCTTGGTGTTTTTTGCCTTGACCTTCTGATCGCTCAAACATATATCAACTGGATACAGATAGTCCTCGTTTAGCGACTGCCTTGTATAGCAACTGTTTGCAGTTACGAGCATGATGGAAAAGTAACTTTGTGACCAATCCTCACATTTACAACCTTTGCAGGTCTATAAAGCCAAGGAGAGCTGAAATAAGATTGTAAGCACAGTCGTGGTTTCATTTAGCAACCACTTCGCTTAATGACCACATTGCCGGTCCCAATTGTGGTCGCTAAACGAGGACTGCTTGAATATATTTGGGACATATGCTCTGAGTTGCTGAAATTAATTTGCAGATCTCTGGGGTTTTCTTCATTTTTCGGGGTGTGTGTTAAAAAGTAAGGATCCTGTTGAAGCCGCAAAAGCACCGTTTGGGGCATACTTGGCAGATTGTACTTCTAGCTCCTCTTCTGACATTGAACTAATACTGTTTATTTCTTGATAAAGAATGCCCTCTTGTGGCTTTTGAGGAGCATGCTGGAGGAATAGATTTCCTTTTTTTCAGCTACACGATGCAACATTTGATTCTAGCTTTGGCAATATCGGGAGACCTTGGATGGCCTTTAATTTCATTTTTTATAGGGACCACCTTGGTTTGCCATTTGTGAACCAGTCTAAAATAGACTATGCTTGCATCCAAAACCTCCACTTAGACCGTGCTATATTTTTACTGCTCAAAAAATATGCATCAGTTCAAGTACACTGCAGAAAAGTTTACACCGAATCATGCATAAGAGGGGCAAAGGCGCAGAAGAATATAATCTGGAGAAATGGCTTGCAAAAAGGATAGAGTTTTGGAAAAGTGCAGAAAGAGGCAATTATCAGGAGATAATTGCATCTAGGCCACCCAAGTGACTCTAGCAGAAATCTACCCATACATTGTGCTAATGGTCTTTAAGAGAATTACAAGCCCAGAAATGTCTACAGGGAGATGGTCAGAATGGATCTCGTGCTGTGCTCAGATTATTACTACTACTTTGGGACTGAGCGTCCTTACACTCGCCCTAACATCCGTGCTATCCACCAGTTGCAAGGCATGATTATACGGCAGATCACCCGCCCTCCTTGATAGCAGTAAGGGTAGGGATAGTACCCTAGGAGCGGCTCACATATCCTGCGGCAGTATCGGTGGGCACGACGGCAGCGGGCACAGCAGTATCCTCTCTCATCCCAAAGGGGATGGAACTCGAGGCCGTTCTCGGTCTAGAGATGGCAAAGGAGGAAGGTTAGGGAGTTTGGAACAAGTGCCCGATTTTGTTCACCAGCAGAAGCTAGAAGTTGACTTGCCCAAGGATGGGACCATAACATTGTCCTAGGGAACATGCTGATCAATTCCCACCAAGCACTAATCCACAAGACAGTCTTCGGCTGAGGTTGCACAAAGTGCTAAGCCAATCAATACACTGTGGTTAAAGAAACACAGAGTGTGAACCAGGGTATAGCGACAGGGTTCCCATAATGCCACTTCTCTGATTCTTGCTTTGGAGGCTTGCATTCATGGGTTGCTCATTGGTGAAGCCAAGCAAGTTTCACAATGATTTAATGGCCACGTGTAAGCCCAGTCCCTGGGACTACATCTTAGTTGTTGCTCCTGCTTCGCATGTAGGAGGGCCTGGGTGATGGAATAGATCTACTCTGCCCAAGACTAGCTAGAGAGCCCAACAAGTCAGGAGAGGGAAGACTGAGCTTCCAGGCAGATAACTGGATCTGCTCTAAGGCAGTGTCCCTCTTGGGTCACCACAATGCTACCTCTGTCCCATGTCAGTAGCAGGTTTCTGGCAAGTGCAGGACGCAACAGCCATAACCATCCCATGTTGAGCCTCTCAACCCTCTTCTTCCCCCTTCTACTCATTCCCTCTCCTCCTCTTCCTTTCTGGTGCAAATTCACAGCACTCTTCTTTTGCTACTCTGGCCTCTCCCATCCTCTGAGTTCTTTCAGATTTCACAATGCTTTAAGCAAGGAATATTTAGCATGCTTTCCAAGGGCTGCTGGGGGCTGCTTAACTGAGGGAGCAGGACTTCCAGCTGTATGGAAAAGATTGCTGAAAATTCCCCTCGGTAGGAGGCTCGGTCCAAAAGTTCCATTTTGACAACAGCCTGGTTTTTCAATTCCAAAGACTTACGTAGTCGTTCACTGGGAGATCTTCTTCGGTGAGCTGCCGAGCATGGCGTTTGGGGCCCTGACTTTCTTCCTTGCTTGAGGACCGGCTTTCCTGCTGACCATCTGCTTGGTTTTGCTCATCCCTAGGAACCAGATCCTCGCTTCCCTTTTCAAAATCAAGAATGTCAGGATCTAGGGGTGGAGGGGAACAGTCACTCAGCTTCTGTTCATAGACTGGTCAGCTTCTTAAGCAAGAGCATTTCTGCTGCTTCTGGATTTAATTTCGACTTGCATAAGCTCGTCCAGCTCTCCAATGATTCCAAATGCCAGTTCAAAATACGATTGAAAGTGTTGCCGGCTTAATGATGCAAAACCGTGCTGCACTTAAAATATTTCTGGCAGATTTGCCTCTTAAAATCTTTCCAAGCAATTCACAGAGATCACAGTACCATCAGGGGTAGCTGGGGTGTCTGTCTCTGCCCTTGTCAGTCTCACATCTTAACAGGTTTCAGTAAGTTACCCTTAAACTTGGTGATTTTAAGCTATTAGGTGGGGTTTGAACCACACAAACTACCTATCTGACTGCTAACATGGCATGAACTCAGTCGTGATATTTACGATTCAATGTGTTAGGCAAATCCAGGAAATAGTATTAAATAAGTACAACATAGTCCATTTAGCTATGGGTCGATGTGTTCTGCAAACATGGCCATGAAGTGGGAGAGTGTGAAAAAAGGGAAGCTATCTTGTTTTGAAGCCCACCTGCTTTTCAACAAATGAATGGGATTTCTACAGTGATCTCCCACTTTTTGCTTTGAACTACACAAGCCCGCAGCTAGCCCTAAAGGCTTGAGGAGGTGGGGCAGGAAGGCTCCTTGTTTGAACCACCTGGGCTATACCATTTGACCAGAAAAATGGAGGGGGGATTTAGGTGAAGCCAGTCCCCCAGCCAGAGGTGTCCACAGAGTGTGGTGAACAAAGTCAAGAGGTTGGCCACAATGTGTGATCAAAACTCTGCCCATTTTTATGCACACTGCAATGGGCAGAGCTTCAGTTGCACCATTCTGGCTACCACCTTGACTTTTTTGATCATACCCTGTGGACACTCCTCCCCCCGCCCATCCAGTTGTTATTCTTGTTCCGCCCACCTTAAGCCCTATGCAGGCCTCGATCCCCAACAGTTTGTACACCCTTGAAGTAGGCATTTAAGAAGCACGCCCAGTAAAAGCTCATTAGCATGTGGTTTAGTGTGTTGTGTGAACTCAGCCATTGGTTGCCAACGTTGGTTGGATTACTTGTAGTGCCAAGGTGTGGCTTGTTAGCTGTGGTTTGTTGACTAAGCCCCAATTGGTCAAGTTCACACATTATACTATGTCATTAAATTTGGTTGGCAACCGATAGCTGAGGACATGCAACACGCTGAGCCACAGGCATAGAAGCAAAGCACTATATGGCTTAAGAACGGTGGGCGATCATCATTTTAATGCTAGCTCTAGTTGGCTGCAGGACAGCAATGGCTCAGATTGTCTACGGGGCAATTTTGTAAAAGCAAATACTGCCCAGCTGTTTCCTGCTTTCAGTGAATCTGGAGGAGCCCTTTTCACATTTCAGAAGCTTGCCTTTTGTTTTCGTCTAAAGAATGGGTCTTTATCGTAGGAGGAGAGCTGCGTTGCTCATGATAGCCCAAAATCGGGAGGAGTCTGGTGGCCCCTTTGCAGACTAACATATTTTATTAAAAGGCATAAGCTCATGAAAAGGCAGATACGTAAGTATGAAAATTATGCCTTTTAATAAAATGTGTTACTCTGCAAAGGGGCCACACCGGTCTCTGCTTGATTTTTAATTCATGAAAGCTGGTAAGAAAAGGCAGATGAGGTGCTAAGAGGATGGAGGCCTGGCTGGGCACTACAATGTAACTGTACTGTAACTTCAATCTGCCAGAATCGACATGTGGGCCAGATAGAGGGGCTGCTCTAATGGGGCACGCATGCCAGATGCAAGTGTTAGAAAATGCTCCCTGAGGTCCTGGATTCAAAGGATGAAGTTCTGGCACTGCAATGGCATTGAGAGAAGACAGCCTCACCTCTTAGCAGGGTTGGATGGATCCAGTATGCAGTAACGTTTTTGCAGAGGTCAAACATCTTGGAATCCTTCAGAAAATCTTTATTTTCAACTGGCTTCTCTCCAGGAACCCAGAGCACAGATTGCTCAAAATAGGTGGCTGCTGTTTCCTCTGCCTGCAAGACAGGACAGATTCTCATGCCAAATTTATGATGCTGGTGCAACACTTTGATCCAGATCTTTCCCATCCAGGTTTTTCTATCTGGAGTACAATTCTTTTTTTCTGGATGAAAAACTGAAGTGTGCCACATTCACAAAAGATGATATTGTGCTTTCTTGGTCCATTAGCCCCAAAACAGAAAGAAAAATCGAAACAAGAACAAGCAGACATTCTCTAGACAAGATAGCCCAGTAATTCTTGCTTAATCGTCAGCAAAGATGAGAATTGAAGATGCATTTAACCAAGTATCTCACAGCCAGCGAAAAGAGATTCTTGCAGGAATACAAAAATATTCTTTTTTCTGACCCCTCAATTTACTATTCATATGTGTAACACAAGAAACATGCAAAACAGCTTGAACTGAAACCCTTTCAGATTTGATACACCAATTTGAGTGTGAAACAGGATGTTTGGATCACTGTGGAAGTGTTTTGAGATTGGAACAGACGGGTTTCAAGCTCAAAACGCTTCTGAAATGATTGAAGTAGCCCATTTTGCACTCAGAGCTGTTTTGTTCTCACAATGAGGCATTCTGAACTTGAAATGGGGGATGGGATTGAACTCTAAAAAATGGTTCAAACCTGAAAGTATTTGCACATCTTTGTGAATATGGAAGTTGCATTTAACTATCATGGCTGTTTATTGATGGATAGAAATGATAAGAAAAAGTTGCAGTGCGTCTTTCCTTCCCTAAAAGGTCTGTGCCTGTTTTGTTTGACTCCATTCTGACTAGCATTGAATTTGCTATTGGAATGAAGAAATAATAGGACAGAGTTCCCAGCATTGTAAAGCTGAATTACTTTGAACCACCTTTTGTGTCTCAGAGCATTCATTCTGGGAAGAAAATGAACCGGACTCTCAGATTCACAAATGTTGTCCATGCTGAGAACCACACTTGGGGGAGGCTGGGAAAGGAATGGAAGGGAGAGTAGACATGAGACAATCAAGGGACAGAAGGTGAGTCTCATAAATGGCAACTCAGCCCAGGTGACAAGAAACCTGGGAGGAAGCATTTCAAATCCTTCAGAAAGACTCTGCCTTCATGAACTCCCTATAAGGCTGGGGAAATTCTCTTTTCCTTTCCAAGATTCTGTATTTACTGCAGAAGAGCATTAAAGATCCCTTACTGAACTCTGTGTAGTTCTTGCTTTCTGATCTGGCTCAGCTTAACATCTGCCATTTGAAAGGCACGTAGGGAATTACACTCTAAAACCTGGGGCCAGGCCAGCAATTAATTTGATTTTATTTAATTCACTGCAGAAATGTAATTAATTAAATGCAGATAACACATGTAAACTAACTGTTAAAGTGCAGAGGTATCACGCTGACAGCAAAGGTACGTATGGTCAAGGCCATGGTTCTCCCTGTTGTTACAACTAGCTGCACAAGCTGAACCATCAGAAAGGCTAAAAGAAAGAAAAATAGCCACGAGGGGTGGAGGAAATGTCTGAGGTGCAAATACTCTGGGCCACAAGAAGAACCCATCGTTCAACTCTAGCTGGAATGAAACCAGACTGTTCATTGGAAGACCAATAACGAAGCTAAAACTTAGATGTTTTCACACAAAGTGTGAAGGCAGGCATCATTGGAAAAGACTGGGATGGCTGGAAAAATGGAAGGCAGTAAGTCCAACCGCAGGATTGAAAACTGATTAATGGCACGTGAATGATACTTCACTTATTCTTTCATGGTTACCATCCTCTAAGCTGGGCTACTTTTGGCCTTACGGTTGATTCCGTCTGCCTTGTTTTTAGCGAAGACTCAGTTTAGCTTTAGCATATGTTGAATATATCTGTCTGGTCTGTGAGTGATTTAAAAACCAATGGGATTACTCTCGCTCTGCCCGTTTCCAAGCTGCTATAAATCTCCCAGCCGGCCAGAGTCTTTATTCAATTCAGCACATTCTTTCCTTCTGCATACCTCGGGCTCCTCCATTTCCATATGAGAGGTTTCTGGTATCCCTTTAATCTGGTTTTGGATAAAGCATTTGGGATCACCCATGAAAAAGAGGACAGTTATACCCTGCAAGGAAAGCAAAAATATAACCAGGTAAAGGTGGGGGAGGAAATGGACGCAACAGAGGTAAATCTGCAAGCCCGCGATTACTCTAATTCAGGAATGGATATATCCATTTTCAGTGGCAGTAAAATGGGGCATGGAGGAGCAAACATTTTCAGCAGTCTATAAATATTTCTATAGGCCTCTGATTTGCCATCTGAGTGTAAAGTAAATAAAAAGCACCATGTACGTTTACTGTGGGTTCTTTGCTTCAATGCCTTGTGTTATAATGAGCACTTTTTCCTTCCTGCTGACTTGTTTTTTAACCAACAGGCATTGCATATTAGCTAGGAGAGACTGCTATGAATCAAGAAATTCCAGGTTTGACTCAGACTTGCTGGGTTCACAGACGGAAGTAAGCTGTAATGTAGTTTATCGGCTTAGCGCAATAACGTAAACCCGGCCAATTTATTTTATTTGGTGTAGAAAACTGATAGCTTGCATTTTTGTCTTTAAACCAGCATGGCTTATTCAACTCATCAGAGTATAGCCCAAGATGTGAACCAGCTTGGCCTAGCTATACCCCTGGGAAATGGCTATACGTACGTTCTTAAAATCATGTATTTCGAGGATTTCCTCACTACCCTTTCCAGTCTGAAAGGTCTCTGTCCAGGTGAGGGGATCTATCTTCAGTAATATCTTCTGTTTTTCCATGTTGCTGAGAAAAATATGCTCCAATTCATAAATCTGAAACAACAGATTTGGGAGAGTATGAATTCCGTGCAATGGTGGTTCACACATCACACTAAGCCTTGACATGGTTTGGTTTGGGGTTATTGTGTTATGTGCATCCTGCCAATGGTGGCTTTCTGAACAAGACGTGGTGAAAACAAACCATGGCTGTATAATGTATAGACTCACCCTCTTTCTATGCATCCCAGAGCAGAATACAATGATTTCATCTATGACTTCATCCCAGAATGATTTTGGCTTCATTCTTTAGACAGGCGACAGTAAGCTGTGACCTTTCAGACGTTGCTAAAGGATCACTCCAGCATTCCTCATCTGCTAGTTGAGGGTTCTGGGGGTTGTAGGGCAGCACCTTCTGGAGCAGTGTTTCTCAACCTTGGCCATTTTAAGATGTGTGGACTTCAACTCCCAGCTGGCTGGGGAATTCTGGGAGTTGAAGTCCACGCATCTTAAAATGGCCAAGGTTGAGAAGTACTGTCCTGGAGGATCTTAGGTTCCCCAGCTCTGCTTCTGGATCTTCCATGGCTTTCTGGAATGCCAAGATAGGCCCATTGAGCCAAGCTGGCTGAGAGGGATAGAGAGCAGGGCAATTAATTAGCTGTGAAATTCTGAGTAAAAAAAAAAAAGAGGACCCAGTTACCTACTGCAGTTTTTCCCAAGCTGTAGTGGGAGCAGTCTGAGTCCTGGCTGAGCTCTGAGAGAGAATAGGAAAGAAAGAAATCTCTCAAACAAATACTATCTTCCAAGATGCATTCCTGCAAAGATACACCAGAGAAGAGTCAGGGCCTGGATGCCCTTGAGACCGTCTGTTCTGGGCTGATTCAGCCTGTCCAGGAGGAGCTGGAGACAAGGCTGGTGAAGGGTCCCATCACTGAGGGAATGCCATCTGCAGGGACCCCATAGCTGAGCCTTCTCCCTGATGACTCTATCGTCAACAGTAGAGCATAACCACAGATGCCAGAATTACATCGCATTTTATTAATCGGGTTTACAATCACGGGGAAAAAACCAGATACAGGACCTTGAAAACTAATAAGCAAAACTCCTGTT